CGGCAGCGTCGTCCATACAGTAAAATATTAGTGTATTATTATATTGGGTAATTTATTTTTAGAATTGACTACTTTTCGCCGTCGTTATCGTTTATAGTACAATCGATTTTGTTATTATTTTCTACTGCGACCTTTAAAATAATATTATGTGTATTGTGTTTTATTTTGTAATATTTAATTTGACAATTTTCATACCTTACTAGAGGTGTTATATTTAAGTCGTACCCCCACGAAACGCCACTGAAATAACGCTAAATTTTAAGTCAACATAAAAAAGTACTCTCATATGATTTCCGTGAGATCAAATGAATATTTTTTTAATTTGATCTTTTACAACTTAAGCATAATTTAAAATTGATTTATCTATAGTTTTTCCACTTCTCTTTTCTCCAATCGGTAAAATAATAAATTTACTTAATAATAATAAAAATAGCTGTATTGTTGTTATAAATTGTATTATCATAATTAACGTACATTAATTTAGATAAGACATCAGTATCTTGTTATAAAAAACAATCTAGCTTGTGATAAATAAAAAATTACATTGTTAAGGTAGCACTGAATAATTTGAATTCTAAGGTACTATAAAGGACCACTTTAATATGAGATCATTTCTTGAGTAAACTTAAGGTTGAATAATTAATTTTCAACTTTGTATTTTCTATGCATTTAAATAAATGAATTTTTAGAATTCAGCTTTCTACAATTTAAGGAACATTTACCATAAAAACCCTAAAAATTCACAAGTAACAACAAACAATCTGACTGTCATCCAACAACATGTATAATATAGCATTTTAATCGTTAAAAAGTAATAATAAATAATCATTATTGTTGCTAAATTATTTATCACCACATTAACTTTTATAACTTGAAATGGTACTTTATTATTTATCATGTAATTATTTATTTTTATAAATTCATTAAATGATTATTCTTACACAATAATTTTCTTTTAACGCTAATAATATAATTTTATGTATGAATTAGTATCATCTATAAATTTTAATCAAATGTTATAATTTATTACAAAAAAGAAAAAAATATTTCTTTCTCATAATAAACTAACTTCTAATAATATATTTACTTAGAATGTCGTATTTAACAATATCACATATAGTCATAGTTACACCACTTAATAAATTCCTTCATATATAAAAATTGTTAGAAACAACTTATCGTGTGTAATGACATGTTATTGTACTAAGCTATTAATTTCTCATAATTACATTATTGTATACAAAGGGTAGTATAATATGGATATATAAAATATGGAAAAAATATATAATAGACTATTTTGTTTCAAATGTCTTCACGAGTAAGCAATCTAGTTTATTGTTTAAAAGTGTGGATTTCTCATCGAAAGTTTCGAAAATTATGAAACTAACAAAATATATAATAATGTATAACATGAAATATTTTTATTAAAAATTAATAATACTCATATAATATTTTTGATTTGTTTAAGTTTTAAAAATATAATCCTTATTTTAAATAAGCAATACGATATTTTAATATAAAAATTCAAAATTAATCATTTGACAATCAATGTAATACTAATAAATAAAAAAACATTAAAATCTGCAATAATTTAAATATTATGTTTTATAAATTCATATTATAAGAATGCAAAATATTTTTTAGATAAAGCAATTTGATAATTTAGATTATAAAATTCCAAAATACTAAAAAAAACATTCTGGTTATTTTTATAAAATTAAAAAACATGTAGATTTTTAACAAGCTTTTGTAATAGTGAGAAAATGACAGGAAGATTAAGAATACCTTTTTTAAGGTTTATTTACTGTTATTCTTTGCAAAGTTACCATTCATGATGTTCACGAAAAAACATTTGAATCTTAGATAGGAATTTGTTAAAATTCTTTTAAATATAAAAAAAGAAATTAATGTAGTTTAAATTCCATTGGATGAATTTCAAGCCATTGTTGTTAATTCTTGAGATTTAATGTCTTTCAAGTTTTAAACCTTTTGTGTAAACTTTTTAAAATATATTTACAGACATATTTTAAGTAATGGAAAACATACTGCTTTACAAGATATTTAAAATTTCTATAATAAGATTTTAGAGTCTTTTATTTATTTTTAAAATATTTAGATCAATCAAAATAGCTTTATTTAATATTTCTTAAAATTGATTGATTTTTAAATGATCTATTTTAATAATTTATGTAATTAATTAATTTTATAAATAAACTATAGCGAACTATAGTTTTAAATAAAATTGGTGTAGTTAAAATCTTTTTAATACAGTATTTTAATAGTTTAAAAAATAAAATTGTGTACCTTATAAATTAATTATTTTAATATAGTATATTTATTCTATAAACATGGGAAGTTTGAAATAGTTTATCAGTACCTTTATTCAAATTTATAAGTTTATTATAATATATTTCTAATAAAATATAGCTTACTGAATTAAAATTAAAAATAATGTTCAATGGCCCTTTTATTTATTAGGTAAAAAGGTTAAGTGTAATGGTTCATTACTCTTTCTTTTAGTGGCTTAAATACCTGTCTCAGATTAGTAAAGCATTTGCTTTTGAAAAGCGATAGTAATGGTTTTAAATGATTCTTTAAATACTATAAAATATAAGAAAATGTAATTATATTTTTAAAATTGTTTTATCGAAAATGTAAAATAATTTCAAATACATAATCTCAAAATAGAATATAATCTATTTTAGTTTAATTTTTTTTATAATAATTATTATAAAGGTATTAAATTTACCAAGATTTATTTATTTTTTTATTATGATTATATATTTTTTTTATAAATACCTTAAATAATACTCTTTCTTTAAGTATATATTTATTGAAAAACTGACCTATAAGCTTTTCAACTTAACTTTTGAAAATGTTCCAAAATTCATAGTCTCAAATATATGTTTAATTAAATTTATGCTACGTATTATCAGTTAAAAAAATAATTAAATGTTTAAAGTACCAATAGCTTATGATATATTAAAAAAAAATTCACTTGATTTCATTTAATATAAAAATTATTTTAAGAAAATTGTTTTTGGTGTTATAAAATTCATATATCTTTTAATTTCTCAGTTATAAAAATTTTATTAATTCAACATTTATATTTTGTTCATATTTAGTAGAGTAATGATTATTAATAATATTTTTTTTGTAGTTACTTTATTTTAAATATAAGTATACTTATATTTAAAATTAAATTTATATTTTTAATCTATAGTTTTTTTTCTTCAAGTTTTAAGCATAATAAACCAAATTTTAGCTTTTTATATAATAAATAAACATCTCCAACTATTATATGTATAATATCAAAAATTTTCCAACAGATTTCCAGAATATATAAGATTTAAACCTGAGAGAGTTGTAGAGAAGAACTGAGTCAAATAAAAATTTCTCTTACAAAGGAGAAAAGTATAACTTAAATAATTTAAAGAAATAAGTTCGAGCTGTATTCTAATTAGGACAATAATCATTTAAAAAGCAATAAATATTTACCAATTTTTCTCATTAAGTTTGATGATAACAATTAAGGTTTAATCAATTTCTATTTATAGTTTTTTATTTTTTATTATATCTTACTTATTCTATTTAAATACAAGTTTGTTAAATGAAATCTAGACATAATTAAAAAGTTTAGTAATTTATAAATTTCCTAAAAATAGGTTACTAATAGTTGTTAAGTAAACATTTTATTTTTCAACATCAAATAATAATCAACAATTCTCTTCAAATTTTTACCACTATGTTAGTAAGTATATCTGGGCTGTTAGAAAAGTTACAGAGTTATTTAATTGGATTAAACATTAACTTATGTGCAACTATGGAAAATAATTATGAATTCAATGTTCAAAATGTAAATCCACTCTTTAAACATTGGAGTTCTTCACACAACTTTTGAATAGTATAGTCATAAAACCCAAAATAATATTTTTCTTTCTCTCTTCTTTATTTAAAATAATATACATATATATGTATTATTATTTACTTAGAAATAAACTAAAAAAAAAAGACACAGATTTTTATTTATTTGCTGTTAATTTTTAATGGTCTAATATACATATATAATATATGTTCATTAAGCCTTCAAAAAGTTTTTCACATTATTTTGGATGTTAATTACATTTTTATACCTAGACGGGACGAAGAGCACGACAAGGAAATTACTAGTGTTAAAAATAGTAGCATCCACTCCTCACATCCAGACATATCTTTAAATTGTTAATAACTTTTAAAATACTGGTTCAAAAGTTGTCCACTAGTAATTTTTTTTATTAGATTACTTCCTATTTTATAAGATAGTTAAATATGTATGTTTCCATTTAAAAAAATAAAGTTGACTTTCATTCGAGTTATAAGGGATGATTCTAAATATTAATTATTATTATATAATATTAATATTATTATAATTAGTTATTATTAACTGATAAGTCAAGGATTATATGTTACTAATAGAAATCAAAAATTATTTTTCAATATTGTATTTATTTTGCGAGTAATCGAGTGGTTTATGATAAACCGATCAACCTGTATATATAAGTATATTTAAATTTATAAATGAATACACAAAACAAATAATTAATTTTACAGGATGTTCAAATTTTTTTTTTTTTTGAAATTGAAGAACAGCATTTTATTTTAATCGAAGTAATGAAAATAAAACATTATTAAAATGTTACTATGTCAATAAATATGTTAGCTAACTATTCTCTATCAATTTTTTCCATTTAAATAAAATTTTTATGTTGTTCAAATTAAATTATTTTTAGCAGTGATTATTAGATCTCATTATATGATGTTCTTATAAGCAACTGATATTAAAAACATAAAATTTTAAATAGGAAATTTGTTATTGGTCATAGTATAATTTATATATACCGTAAAAAGTATTTGAAAAAAAAAATACCCGCTACATTGAATTAAAATATAAAATAAAATTTTTATACACATATTTTTTACTATCAAATAAATTATATAAAATAATAATGAACGCTAAATGAATGTATTCATTTTAAATATTCTTATTACGTTTTAAACCATTTGTTTTTAACATAAGTATTTTTTTTTAATGGAATTTTATTCATTTATTTTAATATCTATTATCGTTTTCGTTTTGAAACCAGACGAAGGCGTACAATACAAAAAATATAATGAAGATTATAAGAAATACATCCATAGAGTGGTGTCTCGCATTCATTCACAAATTGGATCAAATGAAATGCAAAGTCTAAAACTAAAACAACATTCAAATAATATGGATGTACAAGAAAATCCTCAACTAGATGATTTCTCGCATTACTATCGTTATACAATAAGTGTACTTATTTTCAAGTACACTGAAATACTAAATAAATTTCTCGATTACATGCATATTATCATGAATCAATGTAAGCAATTTCATGAAAGAAATGACTGCGAACAATTTATTTGTTGTGTAACATTACTTGAAGTAGAAGTGAAAAATTCTAAGACTATGTTTGGATATCTCCAAAATGCTATGAAATTTATAAGCTACATAGACATAAAGTGTTTGTTTGTTGGAATCATCATCATGCCGAATCCTATTACTGATGAAATCACCTTTTTTCAACAATTTATAAAAATATTAGAATTGAATTTCGATATCAATATCTCACCAAATCTTGAAGGCTCTGAAATGAAATTAGAATTTTTCACTAAATTTTATACAGACGGACTAGAAATATTAAACAAAAGTTTTCATTATAGTAATATCATCGACGATTCTATAAAAACCGATTTGACTACTAATAAAAATATGGAATACTCTAATGAAAACAACTTAAACATCGTCTATTTATCATGTAGTGAACTTAATTCATTTTACAACGAAACCATAGAAATTTGGTACAAACATCTTGGCTTTGAACAATTTCTTAATCCTAAAACACCTGAGTAAGAATTCCTACATTTAAATTTATTTTCTATTTTTATATTTTTTATAAATAACTTTATACATTTGTTGACATTATAAAAAATTTAAATTTAAAGCTTAAATTCATTTGTATCACGTATTATATAGTTCATATTAAACGGCTCGTATACAAATTAAAAAATGAATCATTTTGCTAAGAGCTAAACAAATATATGAATTGACACAGTACCCTATACCGAAGTGATTTACTTAATACACATCTATCAAAATTCTTTCATCAGCCTCTTTTTTTACATTCAGAGTACAGTCTGATTAGAGTACCTCCGTTTTCTAGTTTGCGTGCAAAGTCTATCTACTGGACCGCGGCCGACCACCAAGCGCTGGCAGCGAACGAACTATCTGATTTTTGACATCTCACGCAAAACCAATCCGTTCCGCCGTCTCTTGTCTTCTTTTTCTTTTCCGTATCTATGTACGAAATACATTATATATAAGGTATTCAATAAGTAGGAAAACGATTTTCTATTGTTCTCATTGTTTGTAACAATTGACCTGTTTCCTTACTTACTGTACACCCTGTATATACATTTGTTGTATTTGAAACTAACTTTTATTTTACTTGTGGTTAATTTTGTTTTTCCTTTAAATATATTTTAACACGACAAGTACCATTTAAATTGAATTGCCTCTATTTAAATAGTTTACCTGCCCTTAAACACACGTAAAACATTTAAATAACTGCGTGTTAGAAAATAATAAGTTTATCTTTTTTAATCATTGGTTTTTGAAAATAAAAAATAATAACGACATTCTAATAAGATGGCGCTACAAAATTATTTTTGTGTAGTGATTTTTACTATGTTTAACGATATTTTATTTATAAATATGAGCTCATATAAATAAATACCTATTTTTGTGCGTAAAAATTCAGATGTAAAATTATCCAAAAGTGTTCATAAACCATTAAAAAATTATGAAATTAATACTCAATTTATCAAATTAAAAATTTCTTTTATGAATTTTATATTTTTTTATTCAATAATATTTTAACATTATAATAAAAATATTTAAACCATTATACAAAATGAACCTGAATGAAAATTCAACAATGTCTCGTTAATAATATTTAAATTTATATATTTAAGTAATAATCATAATATTTTGTTTAAAATAGATTCACACCTCCAAAAGATCCGCAAATAAAACAAGACGATGGAATTGTAGCTCTCAATATTCTTCTTAGGGAAACTGGTTGGAAATCAATGAATCACATAAATATCGTTTATTATAATAAAATATACAACTTAGATTCTATAATAAGTGACCCAATTGATGACATAAATTTTCGAATAAAAAAAGAACATGTAACAAAGTTACTAAGATGTAGGTATACAGAAATACTTAAAAACTACCATGTATTATTATCTACTATATTTTTTTTATGTAATTATGATTCATTTTACTTCCGAAACAAATGTTTGATTGAATTATTTAATTCATTAGACAAATCTAAAAAAATGCTTGAAGGGTTGCATACAGCTCTAATTACTTTAAATAAATCATCGATATGGATTGTTAATCTCAGATCTTATTCTAGTTTACATAAAATATTAGAATGGGTTGCAGATATTCTTTATTTATTGAATACTAATAATTTTTCTCGAATTAATTTTGACAATGAAACTGATAATCAAAAAGCTAATGAAAAAATTAAAAAACATTTAGCAAATTTTCGTATTATTCTTAGTAACCTTCATACTTATTTACATGGCCAAATAAGTTATTTGCACAATTGGTGTTTATTAACAGAACCTTTTTATGAGAAAAACGAAAAAAAAATTTTTTTTAAGAATTTAGTAAAAATATCGAATGATCCAAATACTCCACAGAAAGTTCAAATTTATCTTAATGCGTGTGATTATTTTGACAATTTTTGTGAAGATATTTATATGTCATGTTATAAAAATCTTGGTTTCGAAAAAGTTGACTGCCGTAACAAAAAATTAGACCATAAACTTGTTCGATATCTGAAAATTAGATGAATTATTTATCTACTTAACCTTCACTACATAGTAAAAGTTGAATTTATAAAATAGATTTCATAAAATAATTATTTAATTATTGTTAGTTATTTATGTTTAAATGAGATACGAATAATTTTAAAACATTTCCGGAATTCTTATTTTGCTTTACTTATCCCCCAAATCTTTATGTACAAATTCACTGTATTTGTTACAGTCTTCACTACAATACAATAGAAAAAATATTTCATTAAGTTATAAATATATAACGTTATATAAATAATTACATTAAAAAATAATATTGGTTCTTATATTTAATAATATTAAAATAAAATATTGATAAATTTATTATTTTTTATTTCTTTAACAAAAATATTATACATTAACATTATAAAGGGTTAAAAATGAATTCAAAATTAATTTATGTGTAACGCAAAATTGTATAATGTTCTAAATATTTTATATATTGTTTTAACTATTAGAGTATTAAAAAATAACACATTTTTAAGAACTTTTCATCATCTAATGCAGTTCTGGTGATAGATATTGCGGGATCTAATGCAAAAACGTTTTCACGGTTTCCTTTTTATATTTTTTTTTTAGTAAAAGAGACCATTTTCTATCTTTTCATTTATGCATGTGTGGTCTTTTCAAGCCAACTGCATTGGTAGGTTTACTATTTTGCTGGTCCTGGTCAAATGCGCCATTCCAATAAAGTGAATGAGTGACTATTAAAAATTATATAATTTCTATTATGAATTTATATCCGTTATATTATAACGGGTATAATTTATTACTTACTTTTTTTATACAATTTTATTATGGCGATTCGTCATGCCTTCGTAAAAACTGTATTACTAATATTAATTATGTAAATTACCTTAAAATTGTTCAAATTCATCAAATATGTGAAATTTTTCACGTTCACATTTTATTTGAAATAAAAATTATGTTTGCGTGACATTCACCAAATATGAATGTGAGTGCGTGAACGACGTTCTTTCCAAATACTTAATAAGATAAATGGAATACTTAAATTTTAGGTATTAAATTATATTTTAGTACTACATCTACATAGCAAATGAAATTCACAGGTACATACTGTTACAATTATTAAATATTAGAATTGTTTACTTGATATTTTACTTAAAAAATCCTGTTTTTCCTACGTAAATGATTAGCTAAATTGAGTTCTTAGATTTTTAAAGTTTACATTTACAGGTGCATTACACTGGCACCCGCATATTAAAATTTTTTTTAACCTACTCATATTTTATAAAATGGAGTAACTTTTAAATGGCATCCCAAAGGGTTGACACAATAATATATTTTATATTTGTTTAACACATAATATTTTCTTTCTCTTAAGTATTACATCGATAAATTATTCACAAAGTAAGTAACATTCTATAACTTATAAAGCAAATCTTACATCGTTTATATCAAGAACGAACTCAAAGTTGTTCTTTATGCTCACTAAATTCTTATAAAATACAAGGTTACTCTTTTAATATTAGCCACTCAATTTCTTTTATGATAATAATTATCTTAAGTAAATTATCGTTGGTATTTGACTGGTCAGTATGTGTTAGCGTTGATAATGATAACATGGATCCCGAAACGTGTATGCAATTATTTAGTAAATTTTTGTGGTTTATATTTCTAATATTTTAAATTTTAAATAATTAGTTTTAATTTAATTTTGATTTTAATTAATAAATACATATTTTTGACCTGTGTATTTTACTAAAACTTGTTTTAAAAAAATCAATATTAGTTTTATGAATAATATTGATAAAATAAATGTCAAAAATTTTTATATAAAATGAAAGCACTGAACATGAGTTCAACCAAATTAAACTTGAAATGTCTTTGTAATGAGTACTTGGCATATTATAAAATTTTACTCAACAAATACCTCAAAGTTGTTTTATATTCTCGCTAAATGCTTGTAAAACATTCATTAAAACATTACCTAATATATTTAAATTTTTTAATAACATTCCATTGACTTAATCCTTAATAAAAGTTTTATTTGGACTTTATAGTAACACAATTTAGTTCAATTTTTCTAATTCAAAATAAAATTTATTAGAATTATTTTAACTTCAATTTTTTTTTATAATAAATTCTTGTTTTGTTTTAGATTGACATAAATAATGTAAGCTCTTAAATATTTAGCTACTTAATGATTTTTGGGCTATACGATCTTTTTAAAGTTTTTTTATAGAGGAAAATTCGAAATTTATTTTATATTATATCTAATATAATTTTATATTCATTTTTTAAATCAGTAGATGAGTATTTTCATGTAAATGTTAACCTTTTCAAATATTATATTTTACAATATATTTTTTTCTTTTTGTAAATTCACTTTTATAAAGCTAAATGATTTTAAATTAAATCTAAACTAAAAAGTTTTAATATTTAATGTACTATTAAATTACTACATTAAAACTGTTAATTTATCTTCCATATAAACAACTCCATTTTATAAAATTCATTACAAAATTGATATCTTTAACAAAGTTTAATTATATCTCTTTATTTGCAATAAATTTTGAATTAAAAATAATATCATTAAAATATTTAATTTTAGTGACTAATGAATGGATATTTCTTTTTTATTTTATTAATGTTTACGTATTTTCTTCATTATGAAAATATGCAATGTCAATTATTCACTTAGAATACATATTTTTTAATTAACTGAAAAACTATACTTTTCTGTTCATCTGTTGTTGACTGTTATAAATAAAAATAACTAATTAATCATAAAGGTTAACCTATCATTGGGGTAAATGGAAAGCATTGATACAAAAAGCTTTTTCATTAATCATTCGAACCTATTTATAGTTTGTATTGTAATGAAGAATTTTGTGTAGCCCTCTGATGACAAGGCCGTTAGCAACGTAATGATCACGTGTTACTGTTCTATAACTGTCATTTTAATCGGGTACAGTTCTCAAATTGATCCGTATTTTATGGAAAATGACTTTTCGAATTTCACATCAATTGTTATTCCTCAGAAACCAATTATTTTTATGTCATTATTATGTTGACATATCAGTTTAACTATTATCTTGGGTTTAAGAGATAACTAAAATCAAGTTTACAATCATTTTCATGACAAAACTACATATTATGATTTTATTTTTAGAGGTATTAAACACAAAAACTTGGGGTAGTTAATCTCATATGTTTCTCAGTGACATGAATAATTGCAAAAAAAAAAGTAATTAAAACTATGGCTTTCGAGGTTGATTAAATTAAAATGTGCACATTTTAATAAGACACAATCGAATAAATCATTCGTTATGCTAAATATTGGTGAACAGTTTTTTTTTGTATTAAACACAGAATGATATTTTACATTATTATCATTATTATTATACACATCTACTCAATGCATTTTTTAATAAAAAATAATTAAGTTTTCAATTGGTTTATACTTATTAGGTATTCATTATATATCATAAATTTTTTAAATTTATTATTAATACACAATAGATGTATCAAATACATACATTCATTTAATCTATTCCAGTTGATTAAAATATAAAATAATATTTACTTTTACATAATTTGTTACCCTCTCTAAAAAACATCTTTGCCATACATTATTCAGCTTAGGGGTTCTACCTCCCATATCTCTTGTGATAACGCCCATGTTATAAATAATACTTTTCAAAGTTATTAAAGCTAAAACATTTTAAACTCTCTCGAAAACGCCTTACCTAAAAGAAAAAATTAAAATAAAATAAAAAAATTTACCTTGCAATGTATATCTAAATTAGATATTGAATCACCGAAACGTAAATTTAACGGAAAAGTTAAATCAAAATCTTATTTGCATTAATTGTAAATATTATATTTATGATCGTTATTATTACAAGTAGGTACGTAAGGGGTATTAAACTGTTATTTGTATGTTATACAGAAATATATTCATTAGACATAAGATATATAAATTGATACTGGTAATACGCAATATTCCAGAAATCTGAAAGAGTAAATCTTTTTAAAGAAGCTTTACTTAAAAAAGTAAGTGAAAAGTCAACTTACTCTTTTAAATTTATTCAAGTAAAGGGATAAGCTGATATGATTAACTTAATAACTCAAAAAATTTTATACGAGAGTAAAAAAAGAAACACTTTTGAATTAATGTAAAATAATCAAATATTTAACTAGTTGTAAGTAAGCTTAGTCATTTTGAGAGTAGTAAATTTTCAATAATATTTTTTTTATTAACATATATTATATAATTTATATATGTTACATCTATCATACAAACTATTAAGAAAGGTAAAAAAACCTTTAATTTTTAATTAAAATAAATTGTTACCAAAGTAATAAACTCAAACATAAATGGAATTAGATAAAAGGTAGGAGTAATATATTAAAAACAGAGAAAATATTTAGGAGAAACATTGGTAGAACCAATGTGATCAAACTAAGTGTTTTCAAGTGAGTGAAAACAAAAGAGTATATTTTATTTTAAAGTATCCTAATATTTTTAAGATTAAGGATAAGACGATAACTGAATTACAATTGTTGGTTTCGTAATAGCTTAAAGTAGACTTAAAGTTAAAAAAGTAAAAATCGAATGTTTAAAACAATTTTTCAAACTATGCCTTTTTTTTCTAAGTATTTCTAAAGGTCTTCAAAATATTATTAAAACTTTACAAAGTATCTTTTAAATACAATGATTTTTACAAACAAAATTAAGCTATTTACAATGAATTGAAAGCAAAAACTAAGTAAATAAGTCGGTAAATAAATATTTATTCAAAACTGATAAAAAAAAAATATATTAACAAATAATTGTTGAAAAAAATCAATGCGAGTAGAATTTATAAAAATAAAATCTTAATGAATATAATAACGTTTTCAGTTAGAAAAAATAATTTAAAGAAAAAATACTTATTACTAAATTATACTTCATAATTATTTATCTGAGATAATATCTAGTTTCATAAAATTTAATTAATGGTTAAATTATTATTAAAGTTATTAAAGTATTATTAATTATTACTATTAAAGTTCTAAGAACAACATTTAATTAAATACATTTCATCTCATTTTTTTAAGGAATAGTATTTAAAATGTTTCTGTGTATTAAAAAATAATAAAACAGACTATCGCTTTATTTTATACAAATATCAATAAATTAGCATCAGATTTATATGTAACATATGGTAACTACCTAACTTAGTAACGCGTT